AACCTATTTTTGTCCCACCTCATATGTATTTGTTTATATTGTTTGCTATTAGAAAATCAACCATGCATTATTTTTATACAAATGTGAAATAGAAAAACCCAAGTCCGTGATCCTCAGAGCCGTACTCTTTCTATTACACAATGATGATGAATAAAAATACACGACAGTACACAGGTACCAAGCGCAACAAAAATACTCCACACTGCAGAGTTCAGAGCTAAGTCAATGTGGGTTGGGTATATTTAAGAAAAAATTACATGGAGATAAAAACAAAATGAAGATGAAAGAACGTTCCCAGCAAAGTTAAGGCAGGCACATTCCAAAGAGGGAGCCGACACATCTGTAAAATGGCGTGGGTGTGTTCAGGGAAGAGTGAGAAGAGTGTTCGTGTAGAGGAAAGTGAGCTAGGACTGGAAAGGCAAAACTGGGAAGAGTCTCCAATGCCAGGCTGAGAAGTGTGAGCTCCAGGACACAAGTGATGGGGAGTCATGAAAGTTTTCTCCAGGACAGAGTAACACAAGCGAAGCTTTGTCTTAGAAAGACTAAGTGGGCTCTGGAGAAGAGGACACACTAGAAGAAAGGAAGACTGGCCGCTGAGAAACGAGGTAGGCAACAGTCTAGGTCTTGCTCTTATTTGTTATCCCTTTACTGCTGAAGCCACCAATCTCCTCCTTCCCACTGTTCTTTCCCAGAAATATACCAACATGCTCTAGGACCTTATCCATCTTAAAAAAGAAAAAAAACCCTTCTTTTTACTAATACCAGCCCCTCTAATTAACAACCCATTTCTCTGCTTCTCTTCACACCAAACTTGGTGCCTCCATTTGTGCTCAGTGTTCTCTCCTCCCATTATTTTTTAAATTACTTTTTAAATAATTGCCTCTTTTCTCATTTTATTTGAAATATTTCAAGTATGTAAAAAAGTATAAAGAATGATGAACTGTATCCACCATCTCGTTAAAGAAATGAAACATTACAAATAAAAATGAATAAAGCCCTCTCTCCAATCCTAACAGATGTTTTTACCTCTTGACAAGTAACTATTATCTTAAACTTGGTATTTATCAGTCTCACATAAGTTTTACTGTGTATGTAAAATTACATATGTATGTACCTGTAAACAATGTAGCTTGCATGTTTTAAAAAAATTTTTATTGATTGATTTTAGAGGGGGGGGAAAGAAAGTGAGATAGAAAAGAGATAGATAGATAGAATCAAATTCTTGTTCCACTTACTTATGCATTCATTGGTTGATTTTTCTATGTGCCATGATCGGGGATTGAACTTACATCCTTGGCATTTGGAACAACACTAACCAACTGAGCTCCCCGGCCAGGGCCTAGTTTGCATGTTTTTAAACATCAGATAAACAATATGTTCCACATATGTGCTTGCTTTTTTTTTTTTACATTGTTTTGAGAGACTTATCCATATTAACATGCAACTCTACATTCATTTTCACTACTGTGTAGTATTTTATTCATGAGCATTCCACAATTTATTCATTATCTTAATGGATCTTAATAGCTGCTTATACTATGCATATAAGAAAAATTCCAATACTTGTCTCCAATACATATAAATGAGCTTCTCAAAGGCAGCCCCCCCCCCCCCCCTTTTTTTTTAACCAGACTCACAGTATGAAATACATTTTACCTAGCACTCAGTATAAAAGTGAAAAAAAAGTTCTGTGATATAATAATCTGTGCTACATGCAATGCATGCTGGTATTTTATAGAGTTTATTCTATACTTCATTTAAAAAAGTACTAGTAGGGGACTGTCTTGGGCGGGGGGAAAAATGTACACATATGTAATACCCTTTGTAATAATAAAATAATAATAATAAAAAAAAAATAAAAAAGTACTAGTTGTTAAATAGACTTTACAACCTATAGATTTGTGATTTCCCAGGTTGAAAGACACAGTATTGTAAGAATATGGACAACCTCGATTTTGTCAGATATTACCAAATTGCTCTCCAAAGTGACTGTCCAATTTATATCCATAGCAACTGAGTATGAGATTCCCATTGCTCCACATTCTCAACTATTCATCACATTGTCAAGTATACTTTAATTCTTGCCAATCTGGGAATGAAATGATATTCCATTGTGAATTTAAGGATTCTGTCTTTATCTTATAGATTTATAGTTTTTTATGTTTTAAAAATAAGCCCTTTGTTGATTATATGTGTTACTAATATTTGTGGCTTGTCTTTTCACTTTACCGTGTCTTTTGTTATAGAGAAGTAATTGATTTCAATATAGTCAAATTGATTAGTTTTCCATTGTGGTTTGGACTTAAGAAATCCTTGCCCACTCCAAAATCATTAAGATATTCTCTATATTTTCTGTAAAAGTTTAGACACTTAATCTACCTGGAATTGATTTTTGTGTAAGAAGTGAGATAATGATCCAGATGCAGAAAAAGCATTCAACAAAACCCAACACCTATTTTTGATAAAAACTCTCTGCAAAGTGAGAATAGAGGGAGCATATCTCAACATGATAAAGGCCATATATGACAAGCTGACAGCCAACATTATACTCAATGGGCAAAAATGAAAAGCATTTCCTCTAAGAACAGGAATAAGACAGGGATGTGTGCTTTCACCACTCATTCAACATAGTACTGGAAGTGCTAGCCATAGCGATCAGACAAGAAAAAGTAAAAGGCATTCAAATTGGAAAGGAGGAAGTAAAACTCTCATTATTCGTAGATGACATGATATTGTAGGCAAAATACCCTAAAGACTCCATCAAAAAACTACTAGATTCAATAAATGAATTTGGCAATGTAGCAGGATACAAAGTCAATACCCAAAAATCAATGGCTTTTTTATATACCGATAATGAATTCTCAGAAAGAGAAACTAAACAAATAATCCCATTTACCATTGCAACAAAAAAATTAAGATACTTAGGGATAAATGTAACCAAGGTGGCAAAAGACCTGTACTCGGAAATCTATAGGATGTTGAAAAAAGAGAAGATATAAACAAGTGGAAGAATATACCATGTTCATGGATTGGTAGAATCAACATCATTAAAATGTCCATTGTACCCAAAGCAATCTACAGATTCAATGCAATCCCTGTTAAAATACCAAAGGCATGTTTCACAGAGCTAGAACAAACTCTCCAAAAATTGATAGGAATCAAAAAAGACCCTGACTGAGTAGCTGCAGAAATTTTGAGAAAGAAAAACAAAGTTGGAGAAATCACAATACCAGATTCTAAGTTATACTACAAAGCTACCATAATCAAAACAGCTAGGTACTGGCACAAGAAGAGGCATAAAGATCAACGGAATAGATCAGATAACCCGGAAATCGACCCAAGCCATTATGCTCAATTAATATTTGACAAAGGAGGCAAGAGCATACAATGGAGCCAAGAGAGTCTTTTCAATAAACAGTGTTAGGAAAATTGGAAAGATATATGCAAAAAAAATGGAATTAGATCACCAACTTACACCATACAGAAGAATAAATTCAAAATGCATAAAAGACTTAAATGTAAGTTGTGAAACCATAAAAATCCTAGAAGAAACCATAGGCAGCAAAATCTCAGACATCTCTCGTAGCAATGTGTTTACACATACATCTCCTAAGGCAAAGGAAACTAAGGAAAAAATAAACAAATGGACTACATCAAAATAAAAAGCTTCTGTACAGCAAAAGAAGCCATCAACAAAACGAAGAGAGCCCACTGTATAGGAGAACATATTTGGCAATGATACATTTGATAAAGGGTTAATATCCAAAATATATAAGGAATCATACAACTTAACAAAAGGAGACAAACAATCCAATTAAAAAATAGACAAAAGGCCTAAATAGACACTTTTCTAAAGAGGACATACAGATGGCGAAGAGACATATGAAAAAATGCTCAAAGTCACTGATCATCAGAGATGTAAATTAAAATAGCAATGAGGTATCACCTCATACCTGTCAGAATGGCTACCATCAACAAATCAACAAATGACAAGTGCTGACGAGGATGTGAAGAAAAGGGAACCCTAGTACACTGCTGGTGGGAATGCAGACTGGTGCAACCATTATAGAAAATAATACGGAATTTCAATCCTAAAGATGTTCTTGCCTCTGTATTTTTTATATTACAGCTTCAGACCCAGGCTCTTTCCTAGCCCTGAGCTTGCCTCTCCTTTTTCATAAGCCTTGGGCCACACCCTGAGTCTGTCCTTTCTCCAGTTACCTCTCATACTGTTTTCTAAGGCTGTCTTCTCTGTCTACTCTTTTCTTTATAAGTTTTTTTCCTTCTGTATAACTTTCTTCAAATACATTTATTCCTTTGAATTCTGAAATGTCAGGTTGTGTTAACATATTCCATCTAGAGTTCATAATTCTCAAGTGAATTTAAAGTTAATTGCCACTGGCTTTAACGGCACCTTGATATTATTGGAGTGACCATTTACTGACCATCTGCTATGTGCCAGCACTTTAACAAAATAAACTGATGAACAGAGTGGATCCAGAGACATGGAAGCATGAAACAGAGCAGGGAATCTCAGAGGAAGGTGGGGGAGGGTGGGTGAGTGGGAGGTAATCAACCAAAGACCTTGTATGCATATATGCATAACCCATTGACACAGACAATAGGGTGCTGAAAGCCTGGGGCAGGAGAGTGGGGTGCGGGGGCAGGAAGGAGAGGGTCAATGGGAGAAAACAGGGGACAAATGTAATATTTTTAACTTTATAAAGAATTATATATTAAAAAAATCATACTCATTACTATAATCACTGGTCTCAACAGAAAAGTCTTTAGTATTGGGAATGTGATAAGCTCATGATTTTCCAAAATTCTAATTTTCACTTGTAAGCTCGAGTTTTATCACTGGTAACTAGTACAGTAAATTGTTTTCCTTAGTGACAGGTTTGTTGCATTTTTGTGAAGATATCTGCTAGATAGCAAAGCGTGAAATATCAGTCTGTCAGTTCTTCATATAAAATTACATTCCAGCCCAGGCTGGTGTGACTAAGTAGTTAAGAGCATCAGCCTGTGCATCAAGACTCATGGGTTCAACTCCTGGTCAAGGGCATGTACCTAGGTTGCTGGTTCGCTTGTGTGGAAGGCAACTAGTCGATGTGTCTCTCTCACATCAGTGTTTCTCTTTCTCTCTCACTCTCTCTCTCTCCCTCCCTCCCTCCCCTACGAGAGGCAACCAATCGATGTGTCTCTCTCACATCGATGTTTCTCTCTCTGTGTCTTTGCCCCTCCCTTCCATTTTCTCTAAAAATCAGTGGAAAAATATCCTCAGGTGAGGATTGACAACAACAAAATTATATTCCATGAAAAAGCAGCTGGTTCAGCCCACAACTCAAACAAGCACACAAATGCTTTTCAATGAGCTAACCTTCATCTTTTGGCATCAGCAGAAGTGCTTTGTGTGCACTTCACATTATCACAAGGAACACTGATATGTACTCTAGAGAGGAGAGTTAGTCAAGTTAACAAAATCTATTGTTTCCTTAAGAACATTCTTAAATGACTCTGGCTATTTAAAAATTTATTCTTTGTGTGTGTTTTTTTTAAGAGGAAAGGAGAGGGAGAGAGGGAAACATTGATGTGAGAGTGGAACATTGATCAGTTGCTTCCTGCATGCCCCCTACCTGGGATTCAGCCAGAATCCTGGGCCTGTACCCTGACCAGGAATCAAATCAGCAACCTTTCAGTTTACAGGTATGGGTTGAAGCCCAACCAATTGAGCCACACCAGCCAGGGCTTTTTAAAAAATTGCCAGTAGGTTAAAAACAAACAAAAAATACAAATAGCATTATTTGGTCCATTGCTTTGATTTGTACTAAGGCACCAAACCAGCATTTCCACCATCAGTATAAAGGCAATGTTTTCATATTATTATGAAAATGGTTTTGCAAACTCCCTGCAAAGGTCTCTGAGACTCCTAGGGGTCCATGACCATACTTTGGGAACTGCTACTCTAAATTCAAGGGTACTTTCTAGAGTAAACTCAAAACTTAGAATATGAATTCTCTAACTGTGAGATTCCAAAGGAGCTGTCTAGATAAACTAATAGGAAGACACTTTCTTTTTTTTCTTTTCTTTTTTTTATATTTTATTGATTTTTTACAGAAAGGAAGGGAGAGAGATAGAGAGTTAGAAACATTGATGAGAGAGGAACATCGATCAGCTGCCTCCTGTACATCTCCCACTGGGGATGTGCCCGCAACCCAGGTACATGCCCTTGACCGGAATCGAACCTGGGACCTTTCAGTCCGCAAGCCGACGCTCAATCCACTGAGCCAAACCGGTTTCGGCAACACTTTCTAATTGAAAATCAAATTAAAAGGAGGCCCACAAGACCAATATGACTAAGTAACTCAGTTCATAATAACCAAGACATAGAAACAACCTAAGCATCTTTCGACTGATGGCTGGATAAAGATACTGTGCATACAAATACAATGGAATACTAGTCGTAAAGAAGGTGAAATATTGCCATTTGTGACATGAATGGACCTTGAGGGTATCACGTTAAGCAAAATAAGACAGCAAAGGACAAGAACCACATGATTTCACTCATATATGGGATATAAAACAAAAAAGCAACCAATGAATAAACAAAAGTCACAAACAACAGTATGGTGGTTAACAGAGGAGAAGGGGGTAGGAGGAATATGGTGAAGAGAGTAAAAGGGGTCAAACATATGGCAACAAAAGGAGACTAGACTTTGGGTGATGAGCACATAATGGGATATACAGATGTTGTATTATAAAATTGTGCATCTGAAACTTATGTAATGTTATTAACTAATGTTTCCCAATAAATGTAATTTTTAAAAAAGGCTTCAGCTTAAAATGTCTCTAGCCTTCAAATGTCTGTGTTCTTGACCATAGTTAACTAATTTTATATTTTTATTTAATCTACTCAGCTAAGAAATCTTTGGACAGCAAACAGATGAAGAAAGGTCAAAAGAATATTCAGTATACCAACCTAGAACAAATCTAGACCAACCAGCTTCTTCCTACCTTAAAGCCACTCGATACTTCTGCCCCAATTTCTCAATTTCAGCCATTACACAGTCAGTTATACAAGGGATACCTGCCAGAAAAAAAACCCACATATTAATAAAAGAACTTGTGAATAAACTGATTTTACTCTCTCTGAATTATATCCTGCCAAGAATCTTAGGAAGACCCATGAGCTTGGCTGATGTGGCTCAGTGGTTGAGCATTGACCTACGAACCAGGAGGTCATGGTTCAGTTCCCAGTCAGGGCACATGCCCAGGTTGTGGGTTCGATTCCTGGTCAGGGCTCATACAAGAATCAACCAATGAAAACATAAATAAGTGGAACAACATATCTTTCTCTCTCCCTCTCCCTCTCTAAAATACTTCACTTTAACACAGACATATTCACTACAGCCTTGTTTATAACAGAGTAAAAACTAAAATTACTGACAGAAAAACATTCATGATATATTTTTTCAATATAAAAAGCAAGGAAAAATGGATAAATGTGATCTATCCATACAACAGAATATTACTTGCTAATACAAAGAAATGATGTACATGCTTTAACATAGGTGACTTTTGAAAATGTTGTGCTAAATAAAAGAGGACAAATATTTTATGATCCCATTTTAATGAAATGTCCAGAATAGCCAAATCTACAGAGACAGAAAGCAAATTGTGGTTGCCTAGGAATGGTGGGAAAGGGAAGAGTTTAGGGATGTTGGCTAAGGATCCACAGTTTTGTGGGTTTTTTTAATAAATAAAAATGTGGGTTTTAAAAAACTGATTTTCAGAGCGATAGGAAGAGAGAGGGAGAAACTTTGACATGAGAGCAAAACACTGATTGGTCACCTACCACATGCCCTCTACTGGGATAGAGCTCAAAGCCTGGGCAGGCTCCCTGACAGGGAACTGAACCCGAACCAGCAACCCTTTGGTGCATGGGATGGCGCCAACTGACTGAGCCACACTGGCCAGGGCACTAGTGAAAATTTTTAAATATTGACTATGAATACACTAAAATCCATTGAATTATATACTTTAAACTAGAGGCCCAATGCATGAAATTCGTGCAAGGGGCTCGGCCCCCGTCCGCCGCGGTGGCTGGGGGGACCTCTGCCTCGGCCCCTGCTGCTGCGGCTTTGTCTGGAAGGATGTCTGGTCTAATTAGCATATTATGCTTTTATTATTATACATGGGCATATTATATAGTATATGACATATCTCAAAGCAGTTAAAAAAAAGCACAAACATACATAGTAAGTAATTATGATCCATTTTCATTAAAAGAAAAACAACCTTCACCCTACAGAGATTGTATATGAATTTTTAAAACCGACCCTCTCTGAGGTAAAGCATTATAGGGAACTGTCATGTTTTTTTAATGCTATGTATTTTTTCAAGTACATTAATACTTTTGAAAGCAAGTACAGAAATGTTAAAATCACTATAAAGAAATGGAAAGTAATAGGAAAGAGAACTGATGGGCATAAAAGAAAGCTGATGGGAAGCTAACTATTCTTCCTTGTTGGAGTATCCGATGGAAATGGAATATCCCAGGAGCTATGAGAAGGTCAAAGGGACATCTTCAAGGCAAGAAGAAGATAAAGGCCTTCCTTTAGGTATAAAGGCAAGTGAAGAAAAATTAGAAAGCAGAGTTTAAAACAGTTATTCTCCTAGGTAAGTGAGTTTGCACTTACTTAAATGTTTCTTCAGCATTTAGTTTGAGATATTATGTTATACACAAAAGACTGCAAACAGTGGTATTCTCCTTAATAAGCTTGTTTTTAGAAAAGGCATTATAGCTGTCCTCTAAAGTATCCATATCTAGCCGAGACCGGTTTGGCTCAGTGGATGGAGCATCGGCCTGCGGACTGAAGGGTCCCAGGTTCGATTCCGGTCAGGGGCATGTGCCTGGGTTGCGGGCGCGTCCCCAGTGGGAGGTGTGCAGGGGGCAGCTGTTCGATGTTTCTCTCTCATCGATGTTTCTGGCTCTCTGTTTCTCTCCCTTCCTGTCTGTAGAGATTCAATAAAATATATTTAAAAAAAAAATAAAGTATCCATATCTAGAGAAAGCCTAAACAGGGCTAAAGCTCTCTTAAACAATCATCATGTAGATAATAATGGTGGAGCTACAGCATTAAGGAAACAGTTCACCTCCAAGGGCCAGGCTTGTACCCTTGATCCATCTCATATGAACAAGTAGCAGTCCCCTGAAACTTCCCTACCCCATCAATTCTGATCCTTAAAAAGGTAATTATTTTACTCTATTAGCTGTTTTCCTCACTTGGTAGTTCCCTTCGTATATTAACAGTAAACTTTGTAGTCACTTAAAAAATTTATATATTTTTATTGATTTCAAAAAATATTTTTATTGATTTCAGAGAGGGAGAAAGAGAGAGAGATAGAAACATCAATGATGAGACAGAATCATTGATCAGATACCTCCTGCATGCCCCACACTGGAAATGGAGCCTGCAAACAGGGCATGTGCCCTGACCAGGAATCGAACTGTGACCTCCTAATTCAGGGGTCCTCAAACTTTTTAAACAGGGGGCAAGTTCACTGTCCCTCAGACCATTGGAGGGCCAGACTATAGTTTCAAAAAAAAAACTATGAATAAATACCTATGCACACTGCACATATCTTATTTTGAAGTAAAAAAACAAAACGGGAACAAATACAATATTTGTATTTGCATGTGACCCGCGGGCCGTAGTTTGAGGACCCCTGTCCTAATTCATAGGTCGATGCTCAACTACTGAGTCATTGAAGCCAGGCACACTTTTTTAAAAAAAAATATTATTTTTTATTTCAGAGAGGAAGGGAGAGGGAGAGATAGAAACATCATTGATGAGAGAGAATCATCGATCAGCACCTCCTACACACCCCACAACCTGGGCATGTGCCCTTGACTAGAATCAAACCGGGGACCCTTCAGTCTGCAGGCTGGAGCTCTATCCACTGAGCCAAACCAGCTAGAGCCACACTTTTTACATTTATTCATTTTAGACATTTAAAGAATTTAGTTTTTATTTATCATATCCTTATACCATCTTGCTAGTTTTAATACATCAATAAACATTGACATTACTATCACCCTATAATGTTACTCATTATAGTATCTTTTAAATATTAAAAAAGGAGGTGCAAATTTTTCCTTTGATTCCAATAATTCATTCATTATGGAAAAGCATAAGTCTACTTTTCACTTGTACCTTTAACCAGATGACTGGAAAATATTATGAATATAAACTCACCACAAAATGCAACAGATCTCGCTATTAGTAAGTTATTCCCTTTTATATGGCCTAAATTTTCTTTTCCCTATTCACGGTAATGAGGGAAGATCATTTGAAGGAAAGGACATCTAAATACTCAAGGGACATTTATTAATGGTAAACCGTATACCTAGGTGTAAACTACCCCAGATCCTTTGTGGTACAAATAAATACCAAAGTAGGAAGCAGTGACTATCATCACTTCCGGTTCTGTGACTGTAAATGATAAAATGTCTTATTTCGCTTTTCTATACTGGAGTGGAATGAAGAATGCTTCCTCCTCAATATAAAATAATAAGACTATATATACTGAGAAATATAATAAATTTTCATTTATCTCAAATTTTACTTACTTAATTTTTTATTGATTTTAGAGAGAGCAAGAGAAGGAGGGAGGGAGGGAGGGAGGGAATAAGGGAAGGAGAGAGGAGGAGGGAAGGAGAAAGAAAGAGGGAAGGAGGGAGAGATAGAGAGAGACTGATGTGAGAGAGAAACATCCACTGGCTACCCCCATATGCACCCTGACCAGGGATCAAACCCAAAACCTGGGTTTGTGCCTTGACCAGGAATCGAACCTGCCACCTTTTGGTGTACAGGATGATGCTTCAACCAACTGAGCCACACTGGCAAGGGCTACTCATTTATCCAGAATTTTAAAATCCAGAATTAGGAAACAGAAAATTCCCCTAGTATTTTCAAAGTTATTGTCCATAATAAGTACCTAAGCACACTAAGTGTTTTCTGAATTGAGAGAATTTATTCCCAGTCAAGTTTACATTATACTTCAATTTATTAAAAATGGTCATTGCTATGGTAAGCACATTAAATGCCCAGCAATTAAGTTAACTAGAACCCCATTCCCCTCTTTTCATGTATTTGGATAAATATGATTATTCTCTATAAACGTCACAGAAATGTAAAAGTATGATACTCACACTTGGCATAGAGACAATCCATCATTGACTGCACTAAGTCCAGTTTGGCCTTAATGGAAAAGTTGATAAAGTTGGTATCAACCAGGATGTGGTAAGGTCAACCTAGCTGTGTGCTATATTGGAAGAATAAGCAGGAGGGGTGTTGGGGGCTGAAAGAGAAAGAAACAAAACACAAAGTCATAGCTACATTGATATTTTGGTATGAACAAAAAGAGTCTCTACTAGTCTACTTGGAACAGATTGCTCTAGATTAAGCTCTTTTTTCTTTGTTCTTGGAGATAAATCCTGTGATGGTTTATCCATCACCATACTAGGGCAAAATGAGGAAAATAAGCAAAATGTGATGAGGTTTCACAAAATTAAATGTATTTATTTACAAGAAATAACCTTTATTCTAAAAATATGGTCTTACTATTTTTTTGATGATACATTCTCTCTTTTAAGAAATGCCAGTGTTAAACAATGACCATTATTTCTTTTGAAAGATTCTTGGCAAAGAAAACAAAAAGTGACATTAGATTTAATCCCCAGGATTTTAGAGAAAATTTTACTGCTCCATGAAATAAAAAAACATTTGAACCATTGGAGTTGATATAGGCTCATCAATATCACTTTCATATGCATAGTTGTGCTAGACTTAGAAATGACTGAGCAAATCAGTTCGGGAAATCCTGGATTTCTAAGGAGTCTATGGTTTTAGAATGTTTTAAAGGAAAATGTGAAAATGTTGATTACTTAAAGCAGGAAGGCCGGTGGTGGGGGGGGAGGGCAGGAGTGGGGGGATCTTTCTTTTCTTTCTTTTTAGGTTTTAATCTATCCTTTTCTTTACTAGGGAAAAAAAAGTAAATTAAATGCAGGAAAGAAAAAACAATAGTAGTTATAATCTCATTCAAAATTTAAAGTTTCTGTTTGTCTTCAGAGAAAATCTTACTTTGTGACTTCTTTACATTAGTATAAGCATACATTTTTTAATAGATTTTTAAAAATTGATTTCAGAGAAGAAGGGAGAGGAAGAGAGAGATAGAAACATCAATGATGAGAGGGAATCATTGATTGGCTGCCTCCTGCATGTTGGATGGAGACTGCAGGTATGTGCCCTTGACCGGATTTGAACCTGGGACTCTTCAGTCTATAGGCCGACACTCTATCCACTGAGCCAAACTGGCTAGGGCTAAGCATACATTTACATTAATATAAATATATATATTTTTTAAACACAAATAACTGTGTGGGAAGTTTACATAATTCATTAGACATAATTAAATTTAACAATCTCTCGCCAAAAACCCATAACATTTTTTAATGGATAAATAAATGTTGGTTATACTATCATTTCTTCTTTAGTCAGAAGCTTTTTATCAAAGATCAAAATCCACTTTCTAGCAGTGGGTAAAAAGGCTGATGTTTGTCTTCAGATGCTTCAACAGTAGGAACGGGGGAGGAATCCCCATGCACCTTTTATAGAGGGCTAAAATGTAACCATACAAATACAAAATTTAACCTTTAACGAGAAATAAAATATTATTAATGGGAAATTTCCTAAAAATTACATAATACACACACTGAACGCAGAAAATACAATTTAATAACTCTGAAAGCTCTAATGGCCATTCATTTGTATTGAGACTCTTAAACACAATACCAGTCCTTACTAACTTTGTCCATATTCATTTGTATTGAGACTCTTAAACACAATACCAGTTAGTAAGCACTGGTATTGTGTTTAAGAGTCTCAATACAAATGAATGGCCATTAGAGCTTTCCACACCCTCCTTATAATAGGGAACATCATTCCACTTTCTTCTTCCACAGTCATCTGAATTCTTATGAAATTTATAAAATGAAGACATCTAGGTGTTTCCCATTCTTTCTTTCAAAAATATTTGAGTGTCAGGTGCTGGAGACACAAGACAAAGATCACCTCTGACCTCACCTTCCTTCAACAATTATAACATTTTTTTTTCCTATCGAATGTAGTAGTCTAATGACAAGAACATAAATATAATCCCACCCACTTCACAGAAATATTAGGCTTAAATGTGATATGGTAGATAGAATATATAAAAATGGTGGCACAAAGTGAACGCTTAGATGTTTAATTCCAGCCCCATTCACCAGGGTACTCCTTCAGCAGCTAAGTGGCTGTTATACACTTGACCATCTCATGCTATATACATACATCCAAGACACAATGCTATTAAAGTGAATGCAAAGTAACAACAAAAGTTTTAACTACTTATCCCCTCGTGACTTCTACGTCTTTGGGCAGTCTATGAACCCCGTTGATTCCAGACACTCACAGCCTCTGATCTCTGAGACTAAGCATTCGCTTCATGGTCGCATACTTCCTTGTTTTCTTTTGCTTCCCCTTGAAACAGAAATTTTAGAGTTAAGAGTCAGAAAATACATCCCATGTTCCTGAGTTCCTTCCTTTCTTTTGCCCATTCCCTTCCCTTCTTCCCTCAAAAAACCCAGTTCCTCTGATCCTCTCTGCCCCAACCCGGCCCACTCCCTACTCGCTCGATTATTACAGGCCCCGCTTGGAGCAGTTTAAGAGCTAAGATTAGAATGAAAACAAGCAGGGGCATGAACACTGGCCGGGGGATGACCCCCTCAATCTCCGCTCAAACGCGGTCTGACCACATCCCTTCTCAATCCTCCCCTCTCACCATGTTCACGCCGCACTCTTGTTTCTTCCGGAATCACCGCCGGCGCGACACTTTTACGTCACCCATAGACTGTTTCCGGCAAAGGCTAGCCCGGAAGCGGAAGCCGCTTTGGAAAACGGAAAAGCACGGAGCCGGTTTCCAGCCCGGGTGGAGATCTGCACTTGGATCCCTTGTGGGGCGAGTCGAGGGCCGGTCTTCTGCCGGGG